CATTGTTTGCTTCAGGAGTCAGTACAACACATCTTTTTGAGCAAGACTGCAATAAATCTCAAGGCAGATCTTGAATCTCATGAACAAACAAGCTTATCAAAGGGTTTAGTAAATGGCTGATAAAATATAAAGGTTGTTTTTTTTTCTTTTCAGGAATAATAAAACTTGGGAGGTGGAATCCCCTTCCTCTCAGTTATGTGACTGATGCACCAGATGCAACAGTAGCAGACATGCTACAAGATGTCTATCATGTTGTGACATTGAAAATCCAATTACAAAGGTGGGTGTTTCTGAACATCTGTCCTTCTCTATTCTGAGCTGCTCTGTCGATTACAGTGTTACTACAAAGATTAGCACATCCTGTCTTCATTAATTTATGGTCTTTTGATGAAATGAAAAGAAAAATGAAGAGAAGGGTGGGTCACCTGTCTGCTTTTTGGAGTGTATTCGAACTAATTTTGTATGTTTTCTGAAGTAGCAATATGGTAGCAGAGAAGATAGGGGCAGAAACTCAATCAAGTAAATATATGGGGCCTTTAAAGGCAGATCTTTCCTCAGTCTCCAAATTTAATGGATTCTCGAGGCCTTATTGTATCAAAAGAAAAGAAACTCCTTGCCTTTTTCCAGGGGCTGCACTGTGAGAATCGAAGTCTTCTGATGACAGTTGCTGAGATGGAGAGGAGGGGGTTTTGTTGACTTTCCTTTATTCTCCAGTGGTCTTCCCAGTGAAAATGCAAGAAGATGAGGAAGGGATGTGTTACTGCAGCTTCATTTGCCATTTGGAAAATATTTTCCCGCACTGAATGCTAGTTCTGATTGGAAAAGCAAAAGCTCCTGACATTTTTATACTTACTTGCCCTCCCTTCCCCGCAACTTTTTCTCCCCCTTTCTCTCTATTGGCTTTCAAAAGAGTCCTCAGATAGTTACTGATGTTTACATAAGGAGTTGTGGCAGGTCCCTGACAGTGCACAGCCTACTCTAGACCTGCTTGGTAAGCCTGCATTGTGCAGTCTGCTGTAGCTCTATGGCCAGGACACATCAGAGGAAAGAGAGGCAAAAATAACAGACAGCCTGGAATAATTTGCCCACAATTAGTTGCAGCTCGACTTGAACAGAAGAGGGGTACACTGGGACCTGTGTCTGTGTACTTTGGTGGCAGGTACATACCCTCCAACTGTTCAGTTCGGTTTGGAATTTGGAAATAGTTGGTGCCTCACTGACGTTAACCTCCCAAACAGCAACATTTCTTTCTTGTTACATCTCTGATGGGGCTTGAGTTTCCAGTTCTCGCTAACAGGCATTTTCTTGCTTTTATATACTGTTATAATTTCTCAGCTAGACTGCATCTCTGCATCATAGTTGTAAAAGAGCATCCAGAGCCTGTAGCCACTATAAAACTGAAGTGCAGTAACTCATATCCTCAGAAGTGTGAGCTACCAGGAGTCCATCCAGCCTATTGTCACAACTGCATTACTGGAGGGTATCAGCTCAAGATCAAGGTCTCATTCTTTATCTTCAAAGTGCTTGAATGCCTGGATGCCATGTAAATAAAAGATAGCCTGTGTCTTTGAGATAAAGATGGTCATTGACTACTTGAACTCCTCAAGCACAACTGAACTTTCAACTCTGAGGGTAAAGCCGACCTGTATAGGCAGAAGGCAGAACCACCTCAGGGGTTGATTGAAGAGCATACATTAAGTTCCTCAGGCACGAATAGCAATGATAAGCTTCTCCCAGCTTTCTGATGTGCTTCTCGGGTCAGTCCCCATGTATGTAGACACAGACGATGAGCTTGTTAAATTAAAAGAGGCACGAGGCACATGGAGACAAAAGCTTCACTACATATGCAGTTCTTGTAGAATGAAAGTGAGAATGAACTACATGTGGCAGATGTTGGGCATATGGCTTAATGTGTTTCTGAAAGGCTATCAGATACTTCAGCGAAGAGGGCAGTATAAGAACCTGTATAAAATAAAATTAAATTTTCAGACTGTCTGCTCAAGGCCTGGCCCCTACACAATGCGGGCCCTTACTGTGTAGTGATTTTGTGAATGACAGTGTGGCATATATGTTTATTTTTTTATCCCAGCGGGTATCTTTGTCTGGAGAAGATGACTTTATCCAGCCATTTCTTGGGCTTGCTTTATGCAGTTTCTTTGCTGTCCACCAGGCCCCAGAGGGAATAGTTATGCACACAGATAATATCATTGTAGAATTAGCTGCTGTTCCTGCTATGTACTGTTATTCTTTTAGTTAAACTACACATCTTCTGGGAGTTGAGCTTGGTGGGGAGGGGAAAGGGGAGAAACACCTTGATGGGCTGGCTAAGCGGGAAACTCCAAGGTTGTGCTCACTGCTTAAAGGTCTATGGCACTTGTACACAAAGAATAAGCATCTGTGAGGGTGATGGTTCTATCTACTTTTTGCTTTTTGTTTTAACAGTTGTTCAAAGTTGGAAGACTTGCCAGCAGAGCAGTGGAACCACGCCACAGTTCGCAATGCCTTAAAGGAACTGCTCAAAGAGATGAATCAGAGCACATTAGCCAAAGAATGCCCTCTGTCACAGGTCAGTGTTTTTAACAGGCTTAGGGAAAGCCAGACTTACAAGATCTAAAGTTCATATTTGTTCAATAAAGGGCTTAGTCTAAACAATTCTATAAATATCAAATTGATTTCTTGTTTTCTTTAGAAAGGAGAAATTCTAATTAATATGAAAAAGAGTATCTTTATACCCTGTTTACTTAGTGGGTTACCAGGTGGAAATTATGAATGAATTGGTTGATTTTTATCCTGCTGTTCAGAAAGATGTAAATTCTTCATTCTAAACCTTTTACAATAGGACTAATGATCCTCAAATGCAAGATTTGAGCTGCTTCTTCCCACTAGCAGAGGCCTGCCTCTCCCACTAACCTGTAGGTAGCTCTCATCACCCTCCAACTATGATAAAAAGTATGCTGTTTTAACAGTTGTGCCCCAGTTTCTAGGAGACAGCAACAAAAAATGTATATGTAATTATGTTAAAAAAAAGAACAAAAACTCAATCTCATTCTCCATGACTGCTTTATAAACGGCAGTGATGTCATGTCTAAGACACAGGTTCCTAACAGATATCATGAGTTCTGTTTGTACTTCAGATTGTCATAACAAGAGATTCATAAAATTTTCATCACTGAGTCCTCCTTGCCTCTCAGAAAAAACAGGAAAACACTTCAGCACCCAGACCAAATAACTTTACTAGGAGTGAAAAATATGTTACCTTCTAAAAACTTTATTAGAATCATAGGTTAATCTATCTGTTGTATCTTAAACAAGTCAAAACATCAGTAATCCCTGTTTGCTAAAAATCTGTTACTTTGCTAGCCTTTATCCAACATTTTTTCTCCCGCGGTTGCCTGTCTTGCATTGCACTGTACACTCATCCTGCAATTCATGATCAAAAGCCTCTGTGAGCCAAGATAATTCTTTCTGTGTATAACCAGCACAAATTTGCCTCACTGTGTTATGATGCAACTCCAGGGAAAGGTCTTCACAATTTAGGTCTTCACAATTGAGAGGAATCAGGTTCTTCATCTTCTTTAGCCGTGCTGGATCTGCAGAACTAACAGGAATGGAAAGGCTGTGTAAGGAAAAGCCATGTAACTTGCCTTATTTACTAGAGCAGTAGCAGTGACTCCAGATATGCACAAGGGTGTAAGTGCATTGAGCGCGACAGTATTTTTCTTTTCACACAGTTTAAGTGTAATTTCTTTAAATAGAATTATCTGTGGAATCTGGTCAGCTAATGTTGATTGCAGCATATGGATGTCCCTGCCCAGTCTTCTTCAATATCCAGTATAACTAAACTATGCATCATTTCATATGCAGAATTCATTTGTTGTCTGGGTCTTTTTCCCCACACTTCCTAGTTTCAAAGCCTACCAGCTGGAAATGCTGCAGTTGGTTTACTCCTTCTATAGTCTCAGTCTGAAATATATTTACAAAATTACTGATGGCAGGACTGTAGCAGCAAAAATCCTTGCCTCAATATTTATTTAATGGACAGAGCTAAAAAGAGATCCTTCTGTAGAAACTGAGCTTGCATACTTTTAAGTACAGGTGTAAGTGACCTTGAGTAGTGACTAACCCTTGAACCAGGACTGCAAGAATGTGGCTTGTATTATTATTGTTATTATTGCCATAAAAAGTTTCAGTGTCTTTTGTTTTGGTTCACAAAATGCAAAAGATACAACGGAAGGTTGTATAGGAGCTGTCTATTACCATCATCTGAATATGCCTCTAATACAATTCCTTCTCCCAAATCAGTTTTAAAAAAATATCGTGCCAAATGTGAAATGTCATTACAACCCCCTTGTGGTTAATATATTATTGACAGCAGCAAATTGCAGAGTGGTCTCTTAGGAGTCAAACTGCAGAGTAAATGCTGCTGTTTATTAATGTGTTCACAGTGCTCAAGTACAGCAGTGGAGAGGGGCAGCGTGGGGAGCTCTCGCTCCCACTGGCAACAGTGCTCTGTCTCCTGTTCTCGGTGCCCAAGCTCTCCATGCAGCCCAGATGGGGATTCTGATTGCCACTAATGAGAAATGTAATCATTCACTTTGATTTAAAATGGTTCTGGTTTTTTTCTGCTAGGTGTATTATGTGGCTGCAGCTTAGCTACCCTTAGCATACAGCTCTTTTTCAAATAAATCCTAGCTAACCAAGTTGGGGAGAAGGAGGGTAGGTGAGGGGAGTGTGTGTGTCAGAAAGAAATCCAATTATTTCAGCATTTCCATCTTCGCATAGAGACATCTGTCTTTCCTGTACATTGTATAACTCATTTCAACACTGACCGTGAGTTTTGTCCCTTTGTTTGAGCAAGATTTCTTGGGATGTGAGCATGTCCCATATTTTTCTCCTTGAACTTACTGCACTGGATTTTTTTTTTGTGTGGAGATTTTTTAGGGCCTGGTCTAAGTAGTTTTCATTCCATGTGGCTGTCATGGCCACACATGTACCAGACATATCTGTTACTTCATATAGTCTATTCTTTCTTTAAGGATTTTCCCAGAAAAAATAGGCTTTATTTAGAAATTTGCTTTTTTTTTTTTTTTTTTTTTCCCCCACCCTCTTCTGAATGGATATTTCCTTTCTGCAGACTTATCAAGATTCCTAACAGAAATACCCCCAGGATTCCTTTCCATTTAATAGTGAGGATATGTAGTTTGACAGTTGTTATGGTTCCATCCCCTGCTCTACTGTCAGTGGTTGATTTACTATTTAATTTAAGCTTTGCTTTCTCAAATAAATGTTAATGGGTTAAATATATTTTGTGATATTTAATAGCCCTACAATTTCAGTAATATTGATTTATTCTAGAACTAGAGGATTTGAGGGAGGGAAAAAAAAAGAGGAAAAACCAAATTGTTGTGTGGACAGAGCTAAACAATTTCCCCATCCTTCCTTAGCAACTAGAAATTTAACTAAAGTGACTCTAAAAGAAAGCAAGTTAGTTCAACTTTGTTCAAAATCCTTCCTTAGCAGAGGCTACCTCCATGTCAGGCTTTCAGAATACTATTGCTTGTTAAAATGACTCAGAGCAAGGGAGGATTTATGGGGAGGGAATTGCTGCTGACTGCCACAATGCTAGGTTTATGTCTCAAAATATTGATTCCAATTAGAAAATTGAATCTCAGTTTTAGAAATCGAAGCTGTCACTTAAAAAGGCTCTTACTTCATAGCCTTCAGACTCTACTGCAGCGCACCGTAGCAGCATTCGAGTGGAAAAGTTCAAGTGAAAAGGCAGAAGAGCCTCTTTACTGAAAGTGAAATTACCTGTTGAGAACTGAATCTGCACCCACCTAGTTATCTCAAGTCTCTCAGTTCTGCTCACGTTTTTTAAGTCCCCAAAACTGTTCAGGAACAGCTGGAGTCCTGTGATAGTGCAGTGAATTGGGTTGGAAGGCTGGATAAATCTGGAAGATGTAGGGGATGTTTTTGTTTTTAAAGCATTGTTAAAATTGAGTAAGCCAATGCATAAACGGTGTAGCTTTCCAGAGATGGCCAAGATCCTATTTTGCACAAGAGCCTGCAGGAGCTGGTGGGCCAGAGCTTGAACCTACAATAAATAGCTTGTTTGAGCTCTAAGATCATCCTTGCTCTCTCGTCTCTGTGCAGAAAGGTCATACAATGTGTCAGGTGCTTTTTCTGAGCTTTGAGGGCATAGGAGGAAGTGAGGGAGGAGGAAGGAGGGCATAAGGAAAATCTGATTTCTGGAGAAGCTGAATTGGCTCCCATGTGTTAATGGTTTTAGATTGCCTTTCCTTGCTAGAAATTTACATGTGGTGGGAATGACTTACTCCTGGCAGAGTTCAGAGGGAGGAAAAGGAAAGCAAAATGTTGTTGTTAAAAAAGATGCCTCCTCTATAGAATGGATGAAGGGAGGGGAAAAAAATAGAAAGGAAGAACTACCAGTAACCAGGCTCTTTCCCACCCTATGGTATCCCAGATAAAAAGTATCATATTTATGGGTATTGGGTGCTGCAAACAAATCCACTTCTCTATGCTTCAGCTGGCTTGTACTGAGAGTCACTTAGGGGGAATTCACGAAGAGTAGAGAGGGGTATTAGTTAAGCAAGTGATATTTTAGGTTTTTTGAGCTTTTTTGTGGTTTTTGACTGTTCTGTATTGCAGTATGCATAGTTCCCTTCACTCTGAATGACACACTTAATTTCTCTTTTGGGTGATTTTTCACACAAGGGCTAATCACATGTTTCTATAAATTATATTAATTTAACTTATTTGCCTAACTGTTGTTCTGCAGCGAATAGCACGGATGTTCTCCGATTCTTGGCTGTGTGGTCTCACTGCATTTGGAAGCAGAACAGAGACATCTGAAAAGCATTATTTGGATTATGCATGCTGGAGCATCTAATCTTACCTTTAGGATCTGGTTCCTAAATCATACTTGTTCTCACCCGGTGCAGTAAGCATGTATTCACCAGCATGACACTGCTCGTTGTTATGCAACTGCAGTTTAAATATTGTAATACGACAAGTACAAAGTAAAGTAGAACTGCTGCCCACCCTGGGCTGAGCTGCAGGTCTTAGTCTAGGTTTGTACTGCATCTTTTTTGCATTATTATGCAAAATAATAATTATTATTTTCTAATTTTAATTATGACTGGGAATATAGAATGAAGAATGAAGCCAATTTTGTGTGCTCATCAGACACTTCTTTTGGTTTTAAAGTCACAAATGGATGTTCCATTGTGCACTCGTATGTCATTCACTTTCCCTGGAAAAGATTTCTAATTGTGCAAGATATTTTAAAACACTTTTTGTCTTTCTTTCTGTACTTCCAGAGTATGATTTCATCCATTGTAAATAGCACATACTATGCCAATGTGTCAGCAACCAAGTGCCAGGAGTTTGGGAGATGGTACAAAAAGTACAAGAAGATTAAAGGTAAATTGATTTTTTGTGACTTTCCAAGTTCTTGAACTTCTGCTGACAGTTTGAGATTATTTGTTTTAAGTAAAAGTGATAATAAACTATAATATTAGTGAATTTATCTACAAAGAGGGCACAGTCACAGCACATTTGAAATTAAATCTGATACTTTGCAAACAAGGCTGGCGTGAAAACACAGGCCACTTAAACATGCTTAAAATATCCCATTTAGCTGTGCTGAAAGATCAGCTGTGTTTTGAATTAAGCTAAAACATTTGGGGAAAAAAAATGTTCTAGTAGCTCTGGATTTAAAAGTTAAATTGCGTTGTAAATTACCTTAATTGTGTCTCATTCATGAAAGCTAAAAAACTAAGTTACATGTGTCCTTGCTCCCTGTTTTCAATACCACTAAGAATACTGGTGTTTCTGCCATGTTCTATCATGTGGTATCTGGATACTAATGGTATATTTAATGCCTGATTGTTAGGAGACATTGCTAAATAACAAGGTGCTGTACCCACTGAAGTTAAGGTGAAAATAGCCCATTGTTTATATTTTTTCTACAATGAAATTGTATTAGTTGGTTAGCAGTGAATGCCTGAGGTAGGTAAAATTATTCTACATAAGTTCATCCCACTCTCACCACTGAAATGTCTGATCACCTTCTAACAGTACATGAAGTGAAGTGACAAGCATCTGTCGTGTAGTTTGTTCTTTATTCATCCTTTCCTTTCAGACGGGACTTGCGTGTGTACTGGACCATTTGTCTTGGTAGTTTTTTTGTTTTAAAACACACATGTGCATTGAGCAGGGGATAGTCAAAAGCTTTTTGACAATACCAACTGGCTCCTCTCTCCCCAAAAGTCTATCAGCCTTGGAGATTAGCTTTACCTTGTGATAGATTTTTTTTTCATAATTTTTCCTCTCTGTTACACCACTGAAGGGAAGATTCATTGTCTGAAAGAAGACATAGGCTATTTTTATTTTTTCTGTCTATGATCCTTTCAGTGGTCAGCAAAATCATAACAGGATTCACAGGCATTATGCAGAAATAGGGTAATGTCCTGTCCTTCTTAAGAAGCCATTGTATTTGTAGTTGCATGAAGATTAGCATCTTTCAAAAAGAGAGTCTGCTGTCCTTTTCTCTTAAAAGGCTGGCATACATGAGCTATGAAAGGTTGCTTGTTTAGTTTCCCTAGGACAGACTAGAAATCTGCATAATAATACCATAAAGAGTCTACTGCTTGAGTTAGGAACACATGAAACAAAATTGCTTAAGATATCAGAACAAGTTCTGAGGCATCTGTTTTTCCTCTGCATGTCTGGCTTGTGTGGAGCATACCTGTAAGACACTCAGGCCTGGGCTGTTCAGTGATTAGATTTTCACTGGGGGGGGGGAGGGGGGGCAGGAGGGAAGAATGTTTTATGGTAAAATTATTTATATCTAGAAGGAAGATTGTTCAGGCAGAAGTTGGGTAACAGTGCAGATAAGGAAATGGAGGTGCTGCTTTTCATGTGCTAAAATGGTTTAGGCTTGAAGTAAAAAAGTTGATTGGACATTTTAGTACATGGTTACCCTTGTGCCCAACAAACTGGATAGTTTTTTCTCTCTTTAAATTACCATTGTGTCACTCAAGAAGTGTTTCTTCTCTCTAAATGGTGCCTTGTAATAAAAGGATTTTATTCAAAGTGTTCTAACATATTCTCTTGGTTAAAAAACAATCAGAGGAATCAAACAGCTTCAAGGTCATCACCGTTCGCTTTTACTTGCCGTTCTAGGAGAAGAGATGGGCTTTTTAAAATTTTTTTCTTCTTTTTTCCTAACTGGGCAAGGGTGCCAGTTGCAGAGGCACTGAAAGCCCTTAACTGTAGTGTTCTTAACTGTAGAGATGCACCTACAGCTTCTGAGTGTTTCTAACACACTGCTGTCTTCCACTTTCTTCCATTCTTACAGCATTGAATTCTTTAAGCTCTTACTTTTTTTACTTAGTAAGTGCACAGTTAAATTGTTAAGTGCAGTAAAAGCAGAATGAGACCTCAATCAAGAGGTCAAGGATCCAAACCTGAAGAGTTTGCCAGATAACTCTGTATCTGTGCTATTCAAAGAGACACAGCCAGTCGTTGCTGTTTGGAAGTGTATGTGTGTGTTAGCAGAAGGAGAAAAAGGAAGGTTAAGGTATGTGTGAAGTAAACACAAGCTGCTATAAAGAAGTTCAAGTAGTGTTGATTCATCAACCGTATGAGTGGGAGAGAAAACAAAGAGTCTATGGCAGGTACAGTGGTGCATGGAGAATAAACAGCCATGCAACTTCAGGGCAGTAATCTAAACCCCCTGGAAACAGGAAGACTTCTGCTCTTCTTTGGGTGGTTTCAATTTCTCATAATCTCTGTTTTCATGACATTTTGTTTCTTTTCTGTAGCCAGATATTCTTGCAGGACAGCTCAGTTAGTATGCAAAATCAGTGACTTGAGTTATATGGTTCAGTCATCACATACTCTTTCAATAATAATATAAAAAAAAGAACTTAGGTTTTCCATGCAGGTGGATGATGCATGAAGGTGGTTGATGCAACAATTAGTTCTTCAGGTTGCAATGTGGATAGATTGCATAAAACTATAATTTAAAGTCTTTGGGACCAGCACCCATATCCATGTGTAACTCTAGAACTGGTTAGTAGAAAGTAAAAGCAAAAGACAATTCACATGAGCTGTGGTGAACGCAAAATAGGAAGGGGCTTCAAAATAACTTTATTGACGTTGCAAACTAAATGCAGCCTACAGTGTTAAATGTGTTTCCTATTATCTACTAATGTCTGTTTTAATAAAACAGTGGGAACTAAATGGTTGCTTCTTAATCAAAACCATGATTTCCTAAACATAAGCCATGTGATTCTGTTACAAATTGCCACATATAGATCTCCTAGGTCAAACTTTTTTCCTTTCTCATAGAAATAAATAAACAGTAAAATAATTATACTCTCTGGAAGATCAAAGTAATTACAACTGAAGCCAGGCAAAAATAAAAAGTTCTTTGGAAAAAAAAATAAAATGAAAAGCATCAGGTTGCCAAGTATATAGTTAATGTTTAAATAAATGTAAGAAACTGAACAATCAATAATTTGATATCATTAGCAACAGATGTAAAAGCTGTACACAAATGGAATTGTATCAAATCTCAAGTAAACATTCTCAGTGTGCATTCTGTTGAACTCACCGAAAAGACAGCTAAACTATTTATGCTTGTAATTTAAAAAAAGTTTTCAGTTAGTTCAGCTCAGCATGGTAATTTTGTCTTGTGTCAAGACGATGCTAGAATAAAGTTCTGCTTGATTTTTTTTTTTCCTCCCACCCCGCCCCAGCCCCTTAAGGTTTTAAGACATTCACAGTTTACTCAGCAGCATGAGAGTTGGTATACAGACAGATTTGGGAATTGGCTGGTGTGAGGATGGAGGCTTTTTGTCTCCTCCTGGCTCTGAGCCTACCGCTTGGGATATGCGTGAGGACACAAGTGAGTTTATAACAGGATGTTTTTCCAGTCTCCTTGGGATCCACATATATATTTGAAGGAGAGCTTATATGAACACAGTTCTAATGGAAAATATATGGTAGTTGGGAAACAAAAAGCTTACAGTTCTTCAGTGAACTTTTTCTTCCCCTCATGGATGTCCATAATAATTTGGGGTGATAATTAGGCTATCTAGTTTATATTGTAATTTTGTTCAGAATATGCACCACAAATTAATTTAATATAACTATATGAAGCCTTTGTAATAACTTTTAATTTACTTTTTGAGGGATGCAAGGTGTTTTGGTACACAGTTGCGCATATGTGGTGAGGTTTAAGTGTGTTTAAACCTCCTTCAATGAAGAATCAGTCTGCCTTTTTTAATAAAGGTTGCGTATTAATTGATGGCAATTATACAGCAATGGCTTAGTCCAGTGGTTCTCAAACTGTCTTTCTCCTGCCCAGTCCCACGGGGTCACTCCTCTCAATCCGAGAACTGCTTCTCTGGTTTCTCTAGATGCTGAAATTGCCGAAGCTGGGAGAAAGTATTCAATGTTGCTGAAATTAGGGATTTGAAGAATTGTTTAAAAGGCTTGCATTGGTTCTTAATTTGATTAACAAATAGATACACAAATAAAAATAGCACTTTGTAGGTAACTCTATACCTATGTATATGTATGTATGGAGACAAGTATTTCAGAACTTGCCATGCAACTCAGATCATTGTCAAGGGATCAAACTTGTATCAGTTACCTACTCATTGCCCAGTGTTGTGGTTCGTAGCATTTAGAATATTTTTTAGCTCTATTTCTCAATAGATATATCAGTTACCTACTCATTGCCCAGTGTTGTGGGTTCGTAGCATTTAGAATATTTTCTTCACTTCCAAGTGTCTTGCTTTCTATTTTTATCAGAAGGGCTATCACTGTATCAGAATTCTTTCACAACTGAAACTCAACTGGTGTGAATTTTTTGCTTTTTGCCTGATGACACAACTTAGCTCGGTGGGAGGAAGTTAGGAAGGCAGAGGGGAGAAATACTTTGTGAACTTAAAAATAAAAAGACGTATTTTCTTTGTCTGCGTATAAAGAACATTTAATCTTTGCTCCTACCATCAGTGGCTGTCAAAATATAGCTTTCTGTGGATGTGGGTTTTGAGACTGTGGCTGTGTCTTAAGTTTTTGTGAAATGATGAGGCTTTTAAGTTTGAGGGACAAGGGCTCAGTTATTTCTATTTCAACAGATCAGGAATGTAAGAAAAAACTTCCATAGCTTCCTTAAATTGAGAATCTGCTTTGGCTGTTCTTTGATTTTTACAATATTGCTGATTTGTTGTTTGTGTGCTGTTTTATTCTTGAAAGTATGTTTGCTTACTTCCCATAACACATAGGCAGAGCAATCTTGTTTTTCTTATAATGGGTTCTAGAAGCTATTGTAGGTTGAGAGAGGTTAGAAGCAGGATTCAGAAGGGCTCCCAGCCTTGTTATTTCCAGGCTGAAGGAGCCTAAGA